CTGATACATATACATGTTTTTAAGTTGCGTAGAAAGTTTGAGCTGATTCCGATCAAAATTGGATTTTTTTACGAATTTTTAAAGTTACTCAAAAATCGGGCCAAAGTCCCTGTACTATAGTACATGGTCTCGAGCCAAATTTTGCCAAAAATGACTAGGAGAGAATTCTCCATTTTTATAACTTTTCCTGATACATATACATGTTCTTAAGTTGCATAGAAAGTTTGAGCTGATTCCAATTAAATTTGGATTTTTTATGAATTTTTAAAGTTGCTTCAAATGACATGTAGTGCTTTTCAGCTCATAAAGCTCATGCTGTTTAGCTCACTTAGCATGCTTTGTAGTAAACCCTGCTTGCTTCAACCTCATTTGTATTCTCTAGGGCACTGAAGGAGGAGTTGCAGGAGAACTACCTCCAGTTCCATCTTATGCTACACCTCTTCGACCCACTGCCAATGTAAACGTAACCTTGTAACATAATGTATTACATTTATTTATGTTTATAGTTAGTGCAATATGAAAGAATGGAGACTGATGTTTGAATGATCATTACACACAGGTCCCTCTCTCCTTTCTCTCTCCTCCCTTCATTCCTCAATTAGACAAATCTTAATACATTACACTCACTTATTTTAATAGCATGCCTCTCACACACTCTTGTAGACATCGTTTTATTTTGCTTATAAAGCTCTATTATAAAAATGAATGACAAACCATTAACTCTGCTTAAGCAAGTAGTGCAGGCAATCCTATTGTTTTCTGTTAAGAAGAGAGCACATGGTGCGTTTTGTCGTATGCACGTACACATTTTTATCTTCAAATTGCTTGTGCTATGACAACACTATGCTAGGGTGGGTATCATGAAAGCAGTTTAATTGAATTAATTTTGTTTTATGTATGTGATCTTGTATACTGACACATGCACTTTGAACTGAGCTCAAACCCAGTCATAATACTGAACAACTAACTTTGTTTAGTCTTGGAGAGCCAGACTAATTTCATAGTATAATTGGGCAAAGCTTAGGATGGACATCCAATCTAATATTTTTCATCTGATGCTGTAACTAAAATTCATTGTTACGTAATAAACAGCACAATAAATAGTCTTGTGACCCTGCAGTCGCTAATTCAGTCTATTCGAGATTATGGAATCGTTTGTTTATCTTCTTTCTATTCTTCTTGCCTGTTCTTATTGTCAGGAAGCTGAAGGAGGACAAGGATTAGTTTATTATGTTACTGCTGCTGGTACTGA